ACTTTTTTATATGACATAAAAAATATATTTTAAATATTATAAAATATTAAAATTAGTAACTTATTTAAATAAATTTCACAATCATATAAAAATAAAATATTCTATCAAATATATAATGTAATAAATATGATTACATAATATTGACATAAAATAATATAAATAATGACAAAATAAGCATATGTAATATGTATAATATATTATATCAATGAAACATTGATATTTTTCACTTTTGATGAAAAGAAGAAAACAAAAAATAATAAAGTAGAAGAGATTGAATTTGATAGTGTCTTCTAGACACATTTCAAGAATGTATGAAGAAAATTTTTTGTTTATCAGTATCTTCAGAACTATTATAATATCTTTAAATTTATTTTGATTAATAATAATATAAATAATACAAATATTTGATAAAATACATGTTATGAAAAATGAATAACTAACTTTAAAATATTTATCTTAAAAAATATATATTTTTAAAAAATATATAAAATACATAATAAAAATATAAATAATAATAATTAATATTAAATATTATTATTCATTAATTAAACCACCAATTATTATTTATTACAACATTTATCCTTAACTTTAAGTCATTCAAAGTAATCAATTAGCTTCAGTGATATCATTAAATACTGCTTAATTAAAATTTAAAATAATTATAAATGCATGCCAAGACGAGTAAGTTCCGAGTTTAAAAAAAATATTGCACGACAAATTTCAGTTTTAGTGCTTATCACTTTTTTTTTCTTCTTCTCATTAAGAACCATAGGGAGCTTTGACCGAACTATATGTACTTGAGAGACAGAGCCTAGATGCATTTCCTGACTTCAAGGATTATTGAAGTCTGTATGATATTATATTATATTTATTTTAGCATTTTCGAAATTTAAAATGTGAACTTGATATTCTAAAGTTTCTAATTGTTATCAATTTTTTTTATTGGATAGTTTTTTTTCTTATATCTTTATTTATTTATTTATTTATTATTTATAATCAGTGTTTTTTTATGTAACATTTATGATTATATATATATATATATAATAGTTATTTCTTAAATAAATTGTCTTCACTAATTTAAGGTATTAAGTCTGTCATTGATAGAGAGGTCACGATAGAAGAGCACGTAATGTCTTTCATTGAGTAGTGTCGTCAAAATGAATTAAAACTCATGGACCAACTCGACCAATTATTAATTTAAGTTAAGTTGGATAAAAAAATTTGGTCCATTTAGATTATAAGAAAAAATAGCTATAGTTACTTACCACTTGGTTTATGAATTGTCCCAATTAGTTTAAATTTTATTTATTTATTTTGTTATGAAAATATTAATTTATGTGATTATACATTTATATTATTAATAAAATTTATATATATCAATTATAAATTAAGATAATGAATGACAATTTGATATTATTTATTAATATTTTATGTTACTATTTTGATATTATTTAACATTATAAGTTAATTAAGAGTCTATTTGAATACATATTTAGAAACACTTTTGAGAGTTTCTTTATTAAAAAATACTCTTTATTTTTAGTAGAGAAGCTATAAAAAAACACTTATAACTTACATCCAAACAGGTTCTAAGCTTGTTATGACCAGTGCTTACTATTTTCTTTTTATTTTATCAATATAATATTTTTTAATAGAGAAACTCTCAAGAGTGTTTCCAAACTTGTATCTAAATAGACTCCAAGTTAATTGTGATTTATGTTTATTATTTTATTTGTTTTGCTATTAACATAATTGTAATTTTAAGATATAAATTATACAAAATATTTTTTACTAAGTTCAATTAGGATTTCTTTTTCGTTTATTTAAAGTGAGTCTTCATTCAACTTATCAATTCAAAATGAACTAGACCAAAATTTTTTTTTTTATAAAATTGTCCAAATGTGAACAAGGTTGAATTACCCCACCTTTCGAGAGACTTGTAGTAGGTTGGACGAGTGACCCACTTTGACAACTTTATCATGGAGAGAACATAATTTTTCTTTTTTTTTCTTTATGTTTCCTAACTCACTCCTAATTGTCCAATTCTATCCCAATACTAAATTGTTGTTGTGATATTGTAGTTGTTGTTGGCAACACCTCCACTATGCCACAACCCTGGTCTCTCATTAACTTTGTAAAGTTCAATGAGGCATATTTGAGAGAACTTGGTTGTCAAAATGTTGAGGTTAAGGAGACCCGTAGGAAATGACAAGATGCGTACATTTTGATCCAACATAAATGAAGATGAAGTCAAAGTGGAAACAATGCACAACAACTACGACAATACAAAGATGATCGACATATGAAGAGGAGCAATCATGATGTGAAGGCTCCCTACAAATACAAAGATTTAACAAATAAATGTTAGGCAACAATAAGAAAAAGGGGAACGTTTTGCTGGATGTGGAGAGGAAGAAAGTGAGCATTAACAGGATGTTGACAATGAGAGAGAAGGAGGGTAGAGTTTAAGGACAAATTGGGGAAAGAGAAAAAAAAAAAGAAAGAAATAAAAATTTATTCAACTAACTATTTAAAGACTACAAAATATTCGTGACTAGAGGTATCATTTTATTCTTACAAGGCAATGTTTTAAAGTCGAACTAGTCATCAAGTCGGTCAAGTCATTAATTGAACTGCATGACTCAATCTCTATTAAATCTTTAAAAAAAATCCATATCATATATATTTCATACCTATAAAATCTCAATAAAATTCATACTATGAGTTAAAAAAGATCCCAAAAAATTATAGTTAGGTATATAGTATCTTAAGTATGCACATCATGCAAGTTCGAATCTTAACTTGCTTTAAGTGTCTTTTATTTTTAAGGACTTATATATGAATTCAAAGGCACAATCATGACAGACATGGATGAGAATTGAGAAAGCACGCACTAGTCAGTCGTGTCAAACACATGAAAAAACGTGTCATAAGAAAACTACAATATTATTAAAAACACATCATTGGAAAGTTATAAAAGTTTAAATAAGCAAAAGTTCAAAAGTTAAAGTCAATTCGACTATAGCTATTGATTTACTAGTTCATCTGAAAAAATCAATCGAGTCATACTCGTTTGCCTTAAATCAATGACATATCTAATCAAATGATAGATTTGAACTAATTTGACCTCTAATTTCTAATTTGATCAAATCAGGTCAGTCGAACTGATTGATCTGAACTGATTTTTAAAACTATTATATAGAAACTTATAACTCCTTATCAAATTAAAAAAAAAAATCAAAAGATATAACTATTAAAAATTTATGTCAAAATAAGACATGAGAAAATAAGTAGGAGACATGAGAAACCTTCCTACCCATTGTCTAAGAACCGATTCTTAACAAGAATCTATTTGAATATAAATTTTAAAAAATTATAAAAAAAACTCCTACTAATTTTTTTTATTTCTAATAAATAAAATCTCAAAAATCACTTTTAATTTGAATCCTTACATATTATAACAATTCCTCGGTTGCACTCAATTTTTGTTGCACAATTTAAACATTGGATGCTTATAAAAGCACTAACGGTACATTTTTTAAGTCGACCTACTTTTATCAAATAAAATAATATTAATAATGATGATATCAATGGTTTATAATAATTAATGTTGATGAAAAGTAAAAATATTTATAGTTAATAGTGAGCCCATTTAATTTTTTTTTTTAAGACGCTTGGTTTGAGAGGTTGAGTGTTTATGATAAAAACAAGATAAAAATGAATGAATCTTCAGTTAAGACTCACTTAAGAACCAAAACAAGAAAAGAAAAGCCGAATCGGAAATGGCCTAAAGAAAACGAGAAGTCAGATTAAGCACAAACTACCCCTTACTGTACACAGATCCCAATCCCAAAGCTATTCGTAAACCATAGAGAAATCAATGCAAACAAATTGGCCAAATGCTAAAGTCATCATTAATCAATGTCCAAAACTTTTTACTTAGATCGCCAGTACTATGAATAATGAATTCATATATTTTTATCTAAGGTTCTAGCTTGACACAAAATTGAGAAGTAACTGGCATGAAAAACGTGTCTTAATTGTCATTTTCATCCAAGGTTCTAGCTTGACCAACATCCAATAGCTCCTTTACACAAAATTGATGCAAGTTTTCATACATTTTCTTCCATTGGTTGGCCATTTGCATTGACCTTTGGTAATCATGTTTTAGTTTCTCCATCTCCATTTCAGAAGTAGCAGCTGAACCTTGATGCTGAAACAGGTCAAAACACAATCAGGATTAGATAATGCCCATCCTTTCATAAGATGAGTAATCATCAAAACACAAACCTGAAGTTCCTTAATGTAATTAGTTATCACATGAGAACTGAGATATGAAGCATCCACGGGTCTCCTGCCACCCCCAAGGCTGATAATAGTCTTCATATTCGAGTCTTCATCTATTGAATTTACATATTTTTCCAATGGAGGGGGTAAATTAGACCCCTGCTTTCTTGATGATGCTTGTACATTAGAAGATGTGTGATTACTATAGTCATTTTCTCGTCTAACAACGAGAATATTATTTACAGGTCCTGCAGCATCCACAATATTTAAAATTATAAATAAATGTAGGCTTTAACAGACTCAATTTGAAAACGAGCATGTAATTGATACCACCTCATGAAAGTGATTTAGTCAACAAATATAGCATCTCAGAAAAAGCGTAGGTATCACATGATGTTAGTTGCTTTAACATATCACACATAAATTACCAGTAGTCACTAACAAATTCTAATTTGGTAAGTAAAACAACTTGAACATTAATAAAACAGAAATTCATTTGATATGAAAAGATAATCTAAATAGCACAAAGTATAAGCATTCCTAATGATAGATATGCAATAAAATTCTTTCGGAAAAGCAGGCCAAATTTCACAAAGTTTATACAAACCTTTAGCATGTTTAAACATGCGGACAATGTTACGAGTGCTTGCATTCCAAACACGAATGATTCCATCCTCTGACCCAGATATTAACAAATTCTCGCCCGTTCCGTATGCTAAGCATGTAACTGACTTGCTGTTACAATGAGGAATGAAATTAGTCAAATCACACTGCATAGCAACTAGCATTTATGAAGCTAGAAGGGAGTACAAGACGGTCAAAACTGGTGCATATTTGAAAAACTAAAATCACAAGATAGAGGACATCAATTGGTCTATACTTTTTAGAATCTACATGAGAGAAGAAATGATAACCTGTGGTTAGAAAAAGAACCAAGGATATGCGTCCCATAATTATTAGTAGCAATACTTTCAGTGTTAAGTGCAGCAATAAATATCTTTCCATCTCTGCTGCCAGCATAAAAGACATGTTCAGCTGGATCCAATGCAATTGAATCAATTACTGAAGGGAATACTACATTTCTTAGTAGTGTTCCCCTAGATAAGCTCCATACCTAAAAAGAAAACAAATTACAATCCATAATCCAGATCAGTGAATTGCAAAACATACAAACACACACACACACAAACACACACACACACACATATATATATATATAAGATTAATTGATACCAAGTATTAAACTCTAAAAATATAATTTAATCATCAGGAAAGTAGCATATTGTACTTTAAAATAAAGTGGTGCAGTGAGTTATCAACTTATCAATTAATTTCTAAATTACATCTATTTTTTTTAGACTTTTAACAAGAACTTTAAATCTAACAGTTAAATTGATAAAATTAACATTTGGAAAAATGTTGTTAAAGGTGCCGTTTTACAAAATCTCACAGTAAGTGTTCATTGATCTTAAATGTATGTATGTATGAATGCAAATCAGTCAAACGGGTGCAAGGAGCCATAAAGGATGAACGCAGATCTGAATGAAGTGCAGAAAAGAAAATAAGAGGCACAGACAAGCAGAAGTGAACAATAAAAACAAGGTTCAAGGGTTTTTTTCCAAGTGGGTTGGGGTGGGCTTTTATTTTTCCAGAAAATGAGCTTCTCCTATGGACAGTGGGATGGTCCAATTCCAGAGATTCTACGTCCAAGATGGTGCAATCCCACTGATCACACCAAATCACATTTTTCATGTAGATCGAGATTGCAGGGAGAATTTAAAATCATAGGACCACGTATCACACAATGAAAATTGCAATTTCCCTCAACCCTCGGCACCCAAATTCTAAAAAGAACAGCCAGCTCAGCTTTCACCCATATTTAATTTTTTTTTGTTTTTTTGGGTATGTCAAGGTTTATGCAACCACCAATGATTTGAATTTACAAATAATAGAGATCGACAGATTAGGTTGCCAATACTAAATATAAATCTTTGGGTCAACATGCTTCACTGAATCACTGGTTATCTATTTTCTACTACACCAACAACAACAACACAATAAAACAATAAAACAAACCTTACAAGTCCGATCCTCTGAAGCCGACACAATAATCGCATTGCACCCTCCATTACCAATAACAACATCAGTTACAGACAGAGTGTGCTCTGAAAAACTATACTCATATAGGTTATTCGCTTGCTGACTTCTCAAATCATCAAATATCCTGAACCACAGAGCAGCATATGCCACAATAGTTAGCACTGCCAGCACCCTAGCAGTTCACTATCCTAAAAGCAAAAATCACTACTAAAAGAGGAAAAATAAAAAAGGAGAGAGGATGAGCATCTAGTACATGAAGAGAGACCAAACTCTTACGCATCCATCTTCAGCACCAGATACCAACAGTGAATCATCTTCCGAAAACACCAGGCAAGTAACTGCCCTAAAATGAGCACGCCACCTCTTAAGCAACCTACCGGTTTCAACCTTACAATCAATGCACACAACTCAGCACAGCATAGTAAATAGAAACAGACATAAACTAGGCCCCCACTTTCAATTCATAATTCTCCACAACCTAATACCTCAAAAACTTCAGTACAAGTTTAGATTAGATTTGGCTCCTATAAAGAGAACAGAGGTAAAGAAAGTAATCTCAGTCTTTGATGAAAACATCAAAAGTTGATATTATAAGTTCTAACACGTGCATTTTTCTTATATATAGACCACAAGTATCCTCTATTAGAAACAAAACAATTATGTTCAAGTTGGGTAAGACCACTATAAGTAGAAATGTTCTTCCTCTGAGTATTTAACACAGCTGCATACTCATAACTCAAACTTGACACCACTACCAGATGATGTACGTGTTCGGTGGTAACACACATGATTTGATCCAGTGAATAATTAATTTTCTCATTAACTACTATGATGACTTATTCTAGCCTATAAATAGAATTGCTTACTTTAAAGAAGCCTGATCCATCTAGATTAACCTGTTTTGAAAACATAACTCTCTATCTCTTCTTGATCCATAATGGTTCTTCACCAAAAAAAAAAAAAAAAAAGAAAACCCACCTCCCACAAGTAAATATCACCAGAGGAAGCTCCACCAGCTATGAAGGTTCCCGGGTGATTAGCAGCAAGGGGTTTAACGGTTTCAGCGGGAAAACTCTTCACTTCAACTTGAGGCTGCACAATGCAAGTGACATTGTTATTATCATCGTTGATTATTAATATTTCATTATCTAAGAAAATGATAAACAATAATGAGAATATAAAGAGAAAGACCTTGGACCAGGACCAGAAGAGAACGGAACCAGGCGCTGCGGGAGGTTCTCGAATCTGAGAGGAAGCGATGAAGCGGGGACCGACGGCCACGAGGCCGTGAGAAGGGGAGGAGCAGGACTTGTAGCGGAGCTGCTCCGCGCCGGTGTGGAGGTCCCAACACCCTATTCCGCCGTCAACGGAGGACGACGCCAAAACAACCTCCATCCTTTACCGGAACCAGTTCGTGTAGTGAGAGATTTCAACGTCACCGTGACCTGACTTGTGAGAAAGGTTCCGCGCCGGTGTTTCTCTGAGACGGAGGAGGCTACACCATAAAACACAACCGAGGTTTTGACTTTTGACGCGGCTAGGGTTTTTATTTATGATGCCTTTTAGTTTTAATTTTAATCGGAAAAACGTTTGCAGCTTCATTTTTAGCCTTTTAGGTATATATATAAATAAATATTTTTAATGCTACATGTGTCGAATAATACTATTATATGTTCCAAAATTTGTAAAAAAAAATTTCACAAACCTGTTTTATCTTATTTTATTGTTTATCTTTATGAGGAATGAACATGGATTTGGATCAACTTATAACATAATAAATTCGAATCAAGTAGAAGATAAATAAATAAATAAAAATTATATCAATCCATTAGCTTGGTTTGAATTTCAAAAAAGTAATGTTATGTTCTCCAAAGAAAATGGCCAAATCATTCTTCTATTTAATAACAAAATGACACTTTTTCTTTACACGAATACAATCATATACTTTTCATTGAAATAATATTTTGAATATAATGAGAGATTTCATAATAAATATTCTCCACAACAAATAAAAATTTGAGCTACTAAATTATTTTTTCTTAAACTATATTAAATAATAATAACAGGAAAATATTTCATAAACTGTTAATTTGATTAAGAATCATGATACATTTAAAAATATATATTTCTCATTACTAATTATTTGTTATTAGTTTATTAATAAGTTCAATGACTTAAATTATTCCGATCTAAATAATCGAGTAAGTTAGATTTAAGTTGTCATCAACATTTAAACAAAATCAGACCAAATCAAATAACATTGATTTAGTACTATCATAAATTCAACTCAACTTTTACTCATCTTTAATCTTTATTTTTCTTTCCATATATATTAGGAAGAACAAAATGGAATAACATTTGTTTCCTTTCATCATAACATATCCGAACAAGTAAAAAATATATATCTTATTTCATTATGTTCTATTCCATCACAATCTTATCTTAATTTATTTCATTCTATCTCATATATTTATATTGATCCAAAAATGCACTAAAATTTGCCTCAGAAATTTTAACATGCTAATTGTTTAATGCTTCATAGTTCATATTCGAATTATACAATTTTGTTCATTCCTCCTTTTCATAGCCAACAACCAGTACTATGTGAGCTCCAAAAATATAAACTTATGCAACATTGGGATGTCTCGTTTCTAATATGTTTAGATATCTAAAGCTAAAATTGGTGTTACACTCTCTAATATGAAACAAGTTTGTTTTTCGTCATGCACCTATAACATAGCTTTATCAATGCTATAGATGTTATTGATTAACAACGCTTTATCAACTTTGCATAATGTCAATGATTATCAACATTATACCTACCTTTGATGCAAATTGGAGAAGACCTAGAGTTCAAGATTTAGAAAACCCAAGATTGAAGGGATGAGAACTCCAATTCCAGAAAGACATGGATCAGAGAATTTCTCACAATTATGTACACAGTGATAGCAATGATACTATGATAGCACTGTGTACTTTTTTATGTCTATACCCAATAGTATAAATTTTTTGGAAAATTAATTCTTTGACATGGTATAAAAGCTTTTATTATCAAGTGGTTAGAAATTGGATGTTCTCCATGTTTCAAATAAAAGTTAAATTCCAGTGCATGTAAAAAAGACAATAAATCTACCCCAGAACTGGAACTAGCAACGTTTGAATCTGTCACTATATTAGAATTACTTTCTCTAACTTTTAAACAGCATGACATTCTGGCAAAAACTACCAATAGTCACCACAGGAACAGATTCCATCTTTAAAATGATGGAAGCGATTCACATCTCTAACAAGAATCTCTCTATTAGCAAATTTAGAAATAAATTTTGTAACGGCATGACAGTCTTCACATAATCTCAAGTTTTTTCTGATCCTTATGGTTTCACCTTTTGCAGTATTAATGAGTCCAAAAGCAACTGCAAGCTTCTCGCTATGTCCCAATACAATTTTCTCTTTCTCTTCTTCATCTAGTTCGTAGAGAACAACGTTTGTATGTGGAACATAACCCTGCTCCTTCATCTCAGTTGACAATTTAACTAACAAAGCGTGAATCTCGTCGATTTGTGGGTTATGCTCGTCAACAGAGACAAATGAGTATACCTTCTTTTTTACTTCAATCCAGCTGCAACCTGGAAGCTTTTGCAGGCCACGAGATTCCAATAGCTTCATCACATTCTTTGCTTCACTCCACATCTTAGCTTCTGCATAAATATCTGCTAAAAGCACATAATTACCAGCATTCCTAGGCTCCAACTCAAAAAGCATAGTACTAGCTCTCTCCGCAAGTTCAACATTACAGTGAATCCTACAAGACCCAAGAAGGGAACCCCAAACCGTGGGTCCAGGTTCAAAACGCATATCTTCTATTAATTTGATTGCTTCATCTAACCTGTTAGCACGGCCAAGAAGATCCACCATACAAGCATAATGCTCCATACCTGGATGAATCCTGTACTTACTAAGCATGGATTCAAACAAAATCTTCCCCTCCTCAACAAGGCCCGCATGACTGCAAGCACCCAGAACAGTAATGAATGATATATAACTTGGTGAAACCCCTTGGTGGATCATGTTTTCGAAAATTTGGATTGCTTTCTTTCCAAAACCATGCATACCATAAATAGAAATCAAGGAATTCCATGAAATAACATCCCGATTCTTCATGTTATCAAACACTCTTTGTCCCATCAAAATCTCACCACATCTTCCGTACATTGTTATAAGGGAGCTAAGAACTGGCAGTATAGAATCAAGACCCCTTCGAAGGATATAGCCATGAATCAACTTTCCATGTCCCAATGCAGCAAGACCTGCACAAGCTTGAAGCACACTAACCATTGTAACTGAATTTGGAACAGAGTCACATGCCTCTAGCATCATTAGCTGAAACAGTTCCAGCGCTTTCATAGGCATTTCATTCTTTGCGAAACAAGCAATCATAGCACTCCACGAGACAAAATTCTTGGTAGGCATCGCACAAAACACAGAATTTGCACACAATACACTGCCAAACTTGGCATATACATCTAACAATGTTGTCATAACATGAATATTTGCTTCATAGCCATGCCGCAGAATATGGGCATGAATCTCCTTACCCTTCTGGAGAGGGCAAACTGACAGCTCTGAAACAACACAAGCCTTAAGCACATACGTATAAGTGAACCTATCCGATGGGACCCCAGTCCAATTCATCTGACCATACAACTCTAGCAACTCCTCACCACGACCCACCATGGCCAGCGCTCGAAAGAGTGCATTCCAGACATATATGGTTCTTTCCCGAGTTTCATCAAATACCTCGCGAGCACGGTCAATACACCCAAGCTCGTAGTACATATTAATAAGCTTAGTAGCCAAAAATGGGTCCTGGTCAAAACCATCGTCGACGAGACGGCGATGAATGAAAAGGGCATCGGAGAGCGAGTTCTGCTGTGCACAAGAATATATTAAATGCTCAAAAGTCTGCTGAGTTGGATTGGGCTCACAACACAGGAGATGAATGGCTTGACTAAGGTTCCCTCCTTTGCACAATGATTGTATCAAATGGTTTCTGTTGCTCTCTTTGAAGGGGTTGGCTGAAGGGTTCAATGAAACAAAACAGACCGGCAATCTTGAAGAGAAATGGGAACTGTGGCAGATGTGAGTTTGAGATGGAGCATGTCTGACAATTTGGGGAATCTGAAGCACCCACATCAGACAATGTTTTGACACAACTTTTCCCCAGAACAGCTTCGTCAGTGTTTCTGCTACTTTGCAGGAATATGTTCAATAGTTTGTGGTTCCAGTTACTATAACATCCAAAGCTACAGCATATCTGTAAGTAACATTAAGCAAGAAAACAAAAACAACTCAAGGTTAAGCAACCCAATTTTCAAAAATAATACTATAGCAAAAAATGCAAAAATAATGTGACACAAGATGCTAGAGGCACCCAATAAGCTCTAACACAGTTTTTACTTCAGAAACAGCAAATGGGATTCCTAATTTCTCCTTTATAACCCCCCATTTTAGTGTTTTATTAAAAAATAAAATAAAAATAGTGCAGCTACTTGTGTAGTGAATGGTCATAACCTGATAACATTTCCACAGCAAAAACGTAAAATTAAATATGGAAGAAGAGGAAGAAAATTAGTTTGGGTTACCAGAGGAGATAGTTGTGAATTGTGATATAAAAAGCTTCAAGTTTTGCAGATAGTTTGTGTTGTGGGTTCGGCGTCCCTGCGGGTGAAGTGGTCTCGTTATTTTGAAGGAGAAAATTACCCACAAAATTTAGATATTTGAAAGAGTCTTTTTCTCAAAAACCATAACCCAGAGCGCAATGGGATCGGGTCGAATTCGTAAAATCGGGTTGGATCGGTTATTTTGCCACGGAGCACCGGCCTCCGGGATGCATATTAATTCAAATATTCGATAAATCATGATTCGTTAGATTGTTAAAAAAGTTAATGTTAGTAAGATTATGTAAATATAAATTAATTTTAAAATAAAAAATATATTGGTCTTTCTTGTGAATTAACATCCTTAGAGACTTTATTGAGAAGAGAATTTTTTTTTTTTATAAAGTATACTTTAATCTCCATGTATAATGAAAGCATAGAAATAAAAGATTAAACTCAAGATCTGTGTCTCTAGATAGTCTTGAAGCTTTCCTCCTTCTTCAAAGTGTTGTTCTCTCTTTGTTTTTGTTCTCCTCTTTCTTTTTCTCTCTCTAATTCTTTATATATGTCCATGAAAATAAAATAAAGTGTGTTGTAAGTGAGCAATTCACTCAGTCCTTTCTAAATGACTGAGCGAGTTTTAGAATTCTTCATGGTGAAGAAAACTCCATTCACTAAGCTCTTTGTAGTCTGTTGAGCCCTTTTTAAAATGAATTTTTCTCGCTTTTTTGGGCCAAATCTTCTTAACCATTTCTAAATGGTTGAGCGGATTTACTCTACAACAAATTCTTGCTCTGTCTTTGATCCATTGAGTGCATATGAATTGGTTGACCAATTTTGTAAGTTTTGGAGGCCTTGGGACTTGATCAAATCTGTATGAAAAATAAAAGTTT